ATTTATATTATTATAGAAAAAAAAAAAAGTTGACCCATAAAACCCGCCCCTATTAGGACAATGGGACTGATAAAAGTATAATTTGTATATTGAGTCATTTTAGTGTTCTTTTTATATATTTTAAGGACTTTGGATTTATATAATCTTAGTAACATTTGGAGTCTATAATACATAGAAAGTTAAAATAGAACAGTAAAAATATAAATATATATTTTTCATTTATAAACTAATATAGTAAGATATTTACTAAAAGAAAAATGGCAAGTATTAATGAATTAAAGAAAAATGGAAAGTATTAATGAATTAAAAAATAAAATTTTTAAAATTTTGATGTTTACAAACATGAAAAAAAAAAAAAATGTAATTAAATATAAAAAAAGGAAAATGTAATTTGCATATTTATAAAATAAAATAAAATAAAATAAAAGATGACACATTAAAACTGTCCAACCCATCCAAATATTTTGGTGCGAATTATGGATATAACTCATTTTTTAATAGACTTCGAACTACCCAACCCAACTCAATTTCAAGTTAAAGTTGGATTGAGAGTTGCCCAACTTGCAGCCCTAGGGCCACTACCCACTCGTATATTCTGATTCATCGCACCTATGCCAAGTTGAGACTTAGTTGGAGTAGTACAAGGAGATGTTCATATTTAGAAGTGGCTGATTGTTTTAAGTCAATTCTGATTATCTCCTGCCGGCAAAAAATAAATAAGAAAAGAAAAAGGGCAAAAAAAAAAAAAAATGGGGAGAGGAGATTAGGGATGGTCTCTCCACTCCTTGTATGGTGGACAAATTGTTCTTTCATTTTCGTCCTCTTTCCGGTCATTGGAAACGTGGGCTGCTGGTGGGGCTATATGCCCATTCCCCCTCTTCTTCCGCTTTGCAACCGGAATAAAGAATCTTAGAATTCACCCTAGCTATTATATTTACTCAGGCTCCGTTCATTTTGAAGTAAAATAAATTTTTTGTAAAATAAATTTTTATATTTTTGATGTTTGAAAAAGGCCGGCGTTGAGATTATTTTATATTTTTATTTTTATTTTTTCAGTGTTTAAAAAAGGTCGGGGTTGAGATTAAGGATGAGTTCATTGGGTGAGATCTAAATCACACGGAGCGAAAGCGTCAAAGTTTAAATTTTTTGAAAGCCCGAGCGTATTGAGAGTGTCTGTATATTAGATTTAAATAAAATTATATCAGGTCATGACATATATATTTTATATTTTTTTATTTATTTAAATCCATATGCAAATTTATTCATGATTATTTATTCCATTAATAGCTAACTTTGCTCACTAATAGATGTGTGATTTAGTTGTAATATTCTCTATAGATGTGTGATTTAGTTGTAATATTCTCTAATTGGAAAGTTTTTTAGTAGTATATTTTCAAACATATATATATATATATATATATGTGGTAGTACTATAACACCATATAGTTAGGGCAAGTAATAAATGCATATATGGTATATTACTGAGATTCTAACAAATTTAGTTATATAAAGTAAATTTGTATGGAAATCGCGAATTAGAATAACAAATTCGCGAATTGTAAAAATTGAATTTGCAGATTTTGTATGAATTCGCTCTCAAATCGCAAATTTGCATACGGAGCTTGAGAGGGGCGCCTCTTTAGAAGAATTGTGTAACAGTAAATTATTTTTATTTCTTGGTAAATATTTTACTGACAACCAAATAACTGAAAAATAATTTACATTCAAACAAATGATAAAATTATGTGTTGATCTTTTTCCATTTTTCATCTTATGAACTGTGTTAATTTAAAACTTAGAATTCTAATATGGATAATTAAAAGATATCATTGACTTTGAGAGAAAGTAACTAGTTGATTGAACAAATTCAGACCATGCAAATCATTGAAGAGTCCAGAATAAATTAGCCGGGTTGATTTTCGTGGGGGGTAACTCGACTTGTCTTTTTATTTATGGGCTAGTCGCTCAATGCAATTCACACATGCCTCTAACAAGAAAATATGCTTGGTTTAGTTTTCTGCAGAACAATTTTTTATTTTCAACATAATAATGCTGTACAAGAACTTAGACAGTTTTTGAGAATTATTTTATAAATATTTTGTTAAAAAATATGTATTTTTCAAAAACTATCTTTTATTGTTCAAATTAAATTTTCTGTCTTTAAAAATTTTAAAATACTGTTTTACGAGTGAAAAACCAAATAAGCTCAGAATTCCAACTGGCTGTTTTTGTGCATGTACTCCTTCTTTTTTTTTTTTTTTTTTTTTTTTTGATGCCGTGGGAACCCTCGCTGCGACTTCCTTTCGGACTAAAGCTACAAGCCTACAAGGCAAACTCTCGGCTAAACTCCGGCCCCACAGTGAAAGTAGCAGATAAGTCAAGAAAATAATGAGAATGAACCCAAATAAGCTCAGAATTCCAACTGGCTGTTTTTGTGCATGTACTCCTTTGTTCCGTATTAACAATAATAATCTCTTTTGGAAAGTCCAACTTCTTAAGTAAAACTTATTGGGTATTCACAGACCATGATACCCAAATGTTGGGCCCCAAAAATGCTTCTAGCCTGCTGCTTATTTCTCACAAAGCAAGAGAAATGGTGAGTACTTATTAATAATATTTTTATCCCTTAATTTTATTTATTAATATTAATATTGGTTATTCTGGAGACGCGCAATAATTTTTTTTCTTTTAAGTTCTCATTTTAAGATTCAAAAAATAACTTCTCACTAACTAAAATATAATACCAAATATAATAGAAAATAACTGTCTTTTTTGGTATGCTTTTAATCGATCAGATTATATAGATATGCCTTCAACACAACATAGGTCATCAAAATGATCTCGGAAACCCACCAAAGCACAAAAGCCATGATCGTTTAGAAAATGGTGCATAACCACATTAATAACCACATCAAATCGAAAGGGTGCATAACCACACGACTAAGCTCATACTGACCCGTCAATTTGAGATTTTCCTTAGGAAGTATAGGAAGGAATTGGAATGTAATAAAGAATATTGATTCATACTGAAGAAACTGTTCTCTATTGATTCAAACACTATATGTACCTAACTATGGGATAAGGATTTGAGGAAGATGAAAAACCGAAGATTTCGTATACTACATTGTTAATTTAGGGAAGTTCTTAAAACTCAAGGAAAAATTAGGAGATGTTAATATTGATTTTCACAGTCCACATGTATTTTGTGACATCCCATTAAATTTGAAAAATTGGAAGAACCCGAAATAAAATTGATCAATTACCTATAAAAGTAATTGGGATAGAATTATAAATATTTATATCCTAGATGCCTATTCAAATATTTATAAACATGACATTATAAGTTGATTTCAAATCTAGATCATACCATAAAATATATACTCTGTGTATATATATATATACACATATATATGTATATTGTAAAGAGTAAGACAAGGAGTGTCTTGAGATCAGAAGTAAAGGGAACACAAAGCAAGATGTCACTGGTTTTGAAAGGTTGCTTCAAAGCTTTGCCTGACCAAGTACCATACGCATTAATCAAGGAAAGGATTTCCTATTCTTTAACTGTAAGAGCATCTAATATAGTTCTCTGTCTCCAACATTACCTTAATTAAAAGTTAAAGACAAAAGGAAAAGGTTAGGAATCTAATTCCAACAACAACAGACACACAAGAAAGAGTCGTTAGTTACAAACATATCTTCTAATTTTTAAAAAAGATTAAAAGCAGACTTGGCTTTAGCAGAGAACGTTCAGACTGAAAAATTATTTTTTGTTATCTAATGCATGGCATGCTTCGAAGACACTTGTTACTATTCATACACGGGAGGACCTTAAATATTGCAAATTAAATATAAAATATTCAAAATTTTATATACACACACACATATCATTTATGTGTATACAAGTGTTAAAATTGAGTAAAGAAATAAAATATGAACACCACAAGACAAGGTAAGGATATACGTGTTATATACAGGGCACACAAAGTTTAAAGGATTATATTACTTTTATTATGCTCTGGCTTTTTATTCACGATACAACGGTGGAGACTCCTCTAGATGGGAGAATAAATGATGGTAATGAAAAATGCATAATATTATGTTCTTCTTCATAATTTTGAACCAATTTGCAAATTATTATATGATTGGCCGCTCTATTTCTCAATGCTGATATACACAAATGTTGTGTACTGTCCTTGTAGACTCAAAAGCAAACCTGTGTCTTTAACAGAAAACACGCAGTCTGGAATTCTTTTTTGTCATCTAAAGCAGAGAATGTATGCTGACGGGTCACTGTGCTATTCAAAATTTCAAATAATCAAGGACTTTACTACTCAAAAAAACATGAAAATACACAAAAGCTATTAAAACACCACAGTTAGTTAGCTTGCAATCAAATTACAGCAATGGAACCGAAATATTAAAATAAGAATAATTAATTATATATCTATTGGAACAATACATACATGCACGAATTACACATCCCAGTGTGTTCCTTCTGACCTCGACCTTTTTGACTGATCAGTAGTACTTCAATGCCGGCCGGGATTGTAATTTTCAGACATGTCACGCCCTTGAATGATTAACGTTGAAGCAAAGAATCACATTCCCTTCAAGAACACCAAAAGGCCTGCAAAAGAAACAAGTAGTTGAATTCAAAACATGTAATACAATATATATATATATGTGTGTGTGTGTGTGTGTGTGTAGAGTGAATTGAAGTGTGTAGAAGTTGAAGCTTATACAGTGAAGCGAACAATGCGCCTTCTAAACCAATGGGCCTTCCTTAGATTCTTGAGTTTTGTGACCATTTCATCTCCCGAGCATATGTTACCGGCCGGTGAGGCCAAGAACACTTTTCCGGGGATTGGGATTGGAGGAGACCACAAGCCACTCTGCTGGTAATCAAAGTCGAATTCTGAGGCGTCGAAGTATTTACCAAGAAGTCTGTCAGATAATGATTTTGAAACCAACTGAACATTTGGACTGTCTAGAGAGGAAGATTCAGACGATGATGAAGGGGATGAATCTTGAGAGGTGGGCATTGTGTGTGTGTGTGTGTGTGTGTTTGTGTGTGAGAAAGAAAGAGAGGGGGAGGGGGCTCAGAGGCTTCTTGAATAATAAATAGAGGTTGGACATGCCATTATGGAAAGGACATGGGTACTATGACAAGGGATTCTCATTTGGTCACTGTATATGGGGCACAAAGTCAATAAAAAGTTTGGTTATCTAAGGCAACATAATTAAAATATGTGCAAGTACTTGATTGGTGTCTTGCGTGTTTTTGAACCATTATAAGCTGACACAGGACTTAAATACTACCACAGCCGGAACAGAGGCCTCTGTCCTTTGACATTTTACATGTGTTAATTAAAATGGTGACACGGTTTATATTGAAAGTAATATTAAAAAAAGACAAAGACAATATCATAATTCGATATTAATGTCACGAGATGGAATAGATATTAGGTGCGTCGGGTACGTAGTACACCTATTTATTTAAGCTATACATGTATAATAGATATTAGATGCGTCAGATGTATGATACACCTATTTATTTGAGTCATACATGTAAAACAATACGCATTTCTACTCCACCACGTATTTCTCGAATGGTAGTACCTTCTCCATGAGATGGGACCTTACTTTTGATTTTGTATCATTACCTTTTACCATGAGCTAAGTAGGCTGAATAAATGCATTTCGTTTCGTGAAACCTCAATCCACAAACCTACTTTGGATTCCCAGGTGCATTTGGTGAGTTGAGATTGCATCAGCTAACAATTACAACAACAATAAATGTTATGGGACAATCTTCCATAAAAGTAGTTGGTCCAATGGGAAGATTTTTCTTCACCTGTTCAAGGGATTTCGTGGTGCATCCAGTGCAACAGATAGTACCGTTTTAATATTGTTTGGATAGATTGATATGAATCTCAATGTGCTATCACGTTTTGGTACCGTTTGATGATCAGATGCATCATCAGAAAGCATTGGAAATGTTTATTTATTTATTTATCTTTCTTGATTATTTTTTTTTTTCTGCCCTTTTTAGGCATTGAAGCTGCAGAGGGCCATCATTTTCCAAGTAGTAAATCCATGATTAATTTCATAAGAATGAGCTTACTCCTTGAGCTGTTAAATCAAAAGATCCCAAAGTAAAATTCTTAATTTAATAGCTAAGAACATGAATTTTGTATGTCAAGAAAACCTACATACTAATTAGATGCATTGGTGATGTCATGTGCTCGGAAAAAACTATGAATCTCTTCCATAAATGTCTTACAAATGCTCTCATTGGAGAGTATCCATATGGTTGCTCCCATTTTTTTGGATTTGAATTCTGATTCACTCGCAATATAAAATCTAGGCCCAGGCCCATACCACTAACAAGTCCTTCGCAAAGAAATGAACCTCCCGCTCTTTTGACCCTTCCTCTCGTCAATAATTAAACCCTTAACCGGTCCTCCTCTCTCTCTCTCTCTCCAAAAACCCCTCACAAAACACACACTCTGAGCAAATTCAAATTCAAATCACAAAAAAAATGAGGGAAGAAGAAATAGAGAAGCTGAGAGGTGTGGTTAGGGACTGCGTGAGCAAGCATCTCTACTCATCGGCGATCTTCTTCGCCGATAAAGTCGCTGCCTTCACGTCGGACCCCGCCGACATCTACATGCAGGCCCAAGCCCTCTTCCTCGGCCGCCACTATCGCCGCGCCTTCCACCTCCTCAATGCTTCTCAGATCGTCCTCCGCGATCTCCGCTTCCGCTACCTCGCCGCCAAATGTTTGGTAGGTCTCTTCCCCATTGTGCTGTCAATTAACTAATAAAAAGTTCAGTTCGTCTAATTCATGTTTGGCTCCCTTTTTTTATATACTAGATCTTTTGAAATTTCGAGTTTTTTGTTTGTGCCAATTTTTTTTTTTTTTTTTTCAATTATCTCTTCGTTAATTATTTGTTTTGGTTATTATTATTATTTTTATCTTTATTTGTTAATTAGTACTTGTATGGACGGCTCATTTAGATCTTCTTCAGGCGTTTGATTGCCTGTAGGATATTTTATAGCTTCTTCTTGTTCTTCTAATTTTTGGAAAAAAAGTAGTTTGCAAAATTTGGAAATGTGAATTAGGTCGATATATAAATAAACATTTGAAACTCATATTGCGTGTCTAAATAAACATATATATAATGTATGAATATATATAGAAATAAATGCATCCATAGTCCGTTTACATGTGCCAAATATATAAATTCATATGCGACCATATGTAAGTGCGTATATATACACAAAGTAAAAATGTCAATTCATTTTTTGTGTGTTTAAAATGGTTATTCAAAAATAATTTAAAAATATATTTTTTCTAATTGGAATAAAAGAGTGATTTAAATGTTTAATTGTGTGTGTGTGCGCGTTTTGAAATATAAACAAGAAATAAGGGCTTGAATGTTACCACAACCCGATAAGCATGGATCAACTTAAATTTTGAATCTCAGTAAATTAAAAACGTACTCTTTTTCACTCCTAATAGGCAAGGAGCTGGAATAAAATTCCAGTTTTAGGGATTTGTACGAGTTTATGCTAGTCATAGGGCTATTTAAGGTAGTTACATAAACCACCTGATTCTTTTTAGATATCAATAAAATCTTAAATTAGTTGATACAGTTTGTTGCTTCAACATGTTTGGGACATCAAGCTATACCTGCCACTTGTTTGATTCTGTGTACTTTTGGCTCAAACTCAAGTGCCGGTAGTTGCCAAACAAAATGACTGCAAAAAATAACTCATGAGCTATTGATGTGGCGGTCCTTGTTATTTCTTCATAACTTTAAATTTCCCATTACATGTTCTATTATGATTTAGCTGACTTGAAGTAGTTGGAAAAAGGCTTGGGCCTTTACAATTACATTCAGTAGTAATGGCGTGCATAATACATCATTGAAAGCATAATATCAAAAGTTAATGTGTGGCATCTGGAACTCTTCTATTTGGTACATCTATTAGGGAAAGTTTGTTTATCATAATATATACTTTTGCATTCTAGATTCTTAGTATTTACACAACTAAATGCTAAACCTTAGCGGTTTAGTGAAATAGTCATTGTTCTATTATGTCGTGGATATGTATTTTAGCTATCGCTATATAGTTTATTAAAACTTATTTGCTATTTTTAATTAAATATATATGATCAGGAGGAACTGAAGGAGTGGGATCAATGTCTATTAATGCTTGGTGATGCTAAGGTGGATGAACATGGAAACATCAATGACACGAGGGATTACAATGTCATGTATTTGGACAAAGATGCGGAAGATCGTGAAATTAATGTAAGGTTATGTTCCTTTTGACACATGTAACTGATCTATTGATATTGCTCTGATATGAGATGAGATGGATGTCCTGCTAGCTAACTCACAAGTCACAACTTTCAACTCTTTGGCTTTGGAATATCAAGGCCCATTTACATAAATGGTTATTGTATCTATTATTTGTCTTGTTTTGGAAGAAACCGTTGCATACTTGCAGTTGAGTCTAGCATGAAAGGTCACAGGACCTTCACAAGTTATGGCCAATGTGAAATTGGGTCAATTTGGGGCTCATTATTAGATCTGCTCTATGGATCATGCCATTTGTTAATGTCTTGTCTCTGTCACTTATTGCAAATTGTTAGGGGATTTTTTTAAGAAATTGTAATGCCAAAAAAGGACATAGTATATGAAACTTTGATGTTGTTTCTATCATCTTTTTCTTCTTATCAAAAAAAAGAAAAAAAAGAAAAAAGAAAAAAAAGTTGTGTTGCACTTTTGCTTGGTCAATTTACACATTTATGAATCTATTCACCAACTTTTTTTGTTTGGTAGCTTTAAGAGTTTATCTGTTTATGATGATCCTTTTATCCATCATTGATTGCTAAAATTCTGTTGTTGATATTATATGCTATATTGGAGAGGACATATGTCAATTCCAGGATTGTATGATTGCTATTAAGTTTTGAGAATGAGATTATATTTTTCATTCATGATCAGATTCTGTCAGCCATATGCTTTCTAAGAGGCAAGGCGTACGGAGCTTTGGAAAACCGTGCCCAGGCTCAGCAGTGGTAAGTTCTAGCTGTCTTGTGGGGTATTCAATGCTTCATGCTCTTGATATGTTTTTGAAATATATGATTTGCGTAATTCTGATTTAATCATTCTTATAATTTATGTATCATAAAACTTCATGTTTACAATATTCTGCAGTAATATTCACATATGATTTTGAATTTTATCTTTATGTGTATGAATCTATACCTATTGTAAAATGGTTAAATTGTTTAAGTGTGGCATGGCATCCAAAAAGCTGGGATGGGGTTGGGTTTGGTTTTTACTTTTGAATAAAAGTATATATAAAAAAACAAATACCTTAGTTGTGCTTTTTTTTTTTTTTTTTTTCTTGCGGAGGGGAGACATTGTGGAAGTTTGATGTTGGAAGATTGAGATGAAATGTTTGAAATGATATATAGAAAGCATGACTTGTTCTTATGACTGAATGTTCAATGCAATTACAGAAGGTACATTTGCATTTGGAGATAAGTATGTTTTATGCCATATGATGTTCCCTACACAGGTAGCCTGATTGAGGTAGAGCCCCTTGTAACAACAATATTCTGAAGGCATGATGTGGGACCCACCAGAAAATGTTATGGCACATTATGTGTTGTTTTTTATTACTGGGTGATGTAAGGAGATTTTATGAAAATTTGCCTTAGCTATTAAGTTATAGAAAGTTCTAGGGTCTTAAGAATGAGATTTGGGTCTTGTATAGTCACTATGTTGTGTAGGATTGAGCTTAGAAGCTTATTAAGTGCTTCCAGCCTCCTTGGTCTTCTAAAGCCTATAATTTGGTCTCTTCGGAAAACAGAACTATACAAGTGATCGACTGAATATAGTGAAATCTGCAGCAGGTTTGAGCTCTATCTATTTCTTCTTCCTCCTCTCCTCTCCTTTCCTCTCTCTTTTGTTTTCCTCTCTTATCAGACTCTATCTACCTTTCTCCCCTAATTTGCTCGATTTCTTTGACGTCTCTTTTTCTTCTTATTTCTTTTTCTCAGTTGTAATTTGTGTCTTCCTGTGAATGATTAGAAAAGAGAAAATATCATATAGATCCGAGGTAGATTGGGATAGGTGGAAGTCGAGACTAGGAGATCTGTTAGAGGTCTTAGTGATCAAGGAGGCTGAATTTTAGCTACCAAGCATTGTAACTCCCAGGATCTCAAAAAGCTATCGATTAAACTGCTGTTATGGGCCATGATGATAAATTGGATACTGAGCTATAGAACTTTGCAGAGTCCTTTTCCTGACTTGAGCACTTGTGCACCTAGGGTTTCTTTAGCCTTCATAGTAAGGTTTATCTAAGGAGAAGAGGTCCTTGCAATGGTCTTCGAGTTCTCGAGCGGATCTGAGGAGAAAAAGCTCTTTGGCAAGTTTTATATGAGAAAAAGAGGTTTTTGCCATACATATGCTGTCTACTGGCTTATTTGGAAAAACAGTTTTTTGCAATGATGTGTCTGAAAAGAAGTTGGGGCTCCATTGAATATCACAGATGCTTTTAAAGAGGTGGCGAAATCTTCTTGAAGTCTCTCATGCAACGATGTCTAAGGACAGTTCATGACAAGTAGATGCTGATGTGGCAAATTGGCAATTGGTCTGTGCCCGATACCCACATAATTTACTGAACCCTACCAGAATTTACGTTAAAATTGCAAATGGCTTACAGAGCCAGAAATGATTTCTATAATTAGTTTTGTGGTGAACAAGGTGGAAGCCTGTCTTGTGCTTATTATTGCTGTTTCATTCCACACCTGGGATTCGTTTTTTATTTTTTTTTATTTTATATTTTATGATGTTCTTTCATTTCTTTCTGTTATTATTTTTTTTCTTTTTCTTTTTGTTGTTGAACAATGTATTTGTTTTAATATGTTGGTTATATTGAATATGATTTATATATCAGTTGAAGGAGCTCAATTAATTTTATTCTATTTATGATTTCTCAAGGTACAAAGCTGCTATTAAAGCTGATCCTTTATGTTATGAGGTATGTGTAGGTGCTTTACAAATAGCATAAATATTTTATTCTATTTATGATTTCTAAATGAACAATTTTTATATTTAGGTTTCTGCAGTCATGATTGTTTTAATCATTTTGCTGGAAACATGTTGTAAACTGTTTTCTTCGTTAGAATATAGTTGGTCAATCTTTATAAATTTTCTTATTATTGTTATCAATTTTTGTTTATTTTCCTCCCTTTTCAGGCATTGGAATGTCTTATTGAGAATCACATGCTTACATGTGAAGAAGGTGAGTTATTATATTTACTTTGTCATTTATATAACTGAGGTGTAATGTGAAAGGAGAATGAAATCATGGCATCTGATATCTGATTTATGATTTTTTTTCTGTCACCTTTTCTTAAATTTTTGTGGGATCTGCTACAATCATCTACAGAATGCAGTTGCTTTTGCCTTGTATTATTCCATAGAACTATGTAATTTGCTCAGAGGATTTATTATGGCTCATATGATTTGCCGTTGAATTTCAGAGACAAGTCTACTTTCATCACTGCAATTCGCTCCTGAAGATGGATGGCTCTCTTCCTTCTATTCATGTTTGATAAAGAAGGTAAGCATTTGCAACTGGAATATTTTATAGTTTGTGTTGTATCTTTGGTTTCTTTTGGGTCCATGAAGCATTTGGAATTCCAAACTATGCACTAACTTCTTCATTTGTACTAGTTTCACTGATTATAACTATTGTGCTGTGTTCTTCTGCGTAACGGCCAATGATTTTTCCTTCTCATTTAACACAGTATGATAAAGAAAATGTTGTAGAAGCCAAATTCAAAGAACTCGAACAAGAAGCTTTTAATATTAAACCTTCGGAACAGTCTTTCATTTGCACATTGAAAAACAACACTGATCTTTTGGCCTGCAAAGCTGAATACTACCACCAGTGTGGCGAATATCAAAAATGCTTTGAACTAACTTCATTGTAAGTTGGTCTGCTTTCAAATCAAATAATACCATTAACTTTTACTTAACATACCTAGCTTGACTGGAGCTTTTATGTTTGTTGTAATCCATGCAATCTAGATTGCTTGAAAAGGATCCCTTCCATCTGAAATGTACCTTGGTGCATTTAGCAGCTGCTATGGAGCTTCGAAATTCAAATGAGCTCTATCTTTTGGCATGCAACTTAGTCAAGGACTATCCTCAAAAGTGAGAATGCTTTTTTATTGTTTTACCTTTTCTTCTACACTTATGCTTTTATCCTTTTTGTTTTATGCTGAATTTAAAATTTTTGCATAATTATTTATTTGTTCTCAATTCTTAGGTCTCTGTCATGGTTTGCTGTGGGTTGCTATTATTATTGTATCAAGAAGTATGATCAATCACGCCGTTATTTCAGGTAATAATCGTGCACTTTCAGTTGAACTTAACCCAACTTTTTAACAGATTGTAACATGTCTATTTCTTTGAGTTCCATTTTTTTCCCTTGATATTCAGGTGTTATTTTAGGTGTCAATACATTCAGCTGTATCATCATCCACACAATTTAATTTCCATGAGATGCTTAGGTTGTTACTTATACTAATTATTGATTTTAAAAAATGCTACGTTGTCTACTGTACATTTAGTTTATATATTTTCTTAGTCAATGCATTAGTGTCATCTGCCAGCAAAGTCAACACTTAGGGAAATCCAAGGTGCTACAAGTGATTCATTATTCAAATGCAAAGCATTTAACGGAACATTTGTTTTTTGGAAAGTTTAAGAGGTTCAAGCAAGTGGTGACATTGAAGGGATGCATGAGAGAGACAAAATTGAGCATGTGACGGGTATATAGTTTGAGGTGGATAGACACAACAGAATATGATCACCCGATTTGATGGTGATATGTAAACATCAAGGTGAATTGACAGTTAATTGTGAAGTTTTAATTAAATCACTTTTTTACTAGGGATATGAGGGTAGTGTTTGGCTTTTCTACTAAACAAAATGATTGGTTTTAAGGACTTCCATGTTCAAATTTTTTAGGGGGGTTTCTTAAGGGCTAGCATAGGGGATCCAAGGTGAGAAGATGGACTGTTGACATTAGTTTATTATGAAGATAGAAATTGTTGAACCAGTAATTTGGGATGTTGTGGTCCGACTAGCTTGTAATGACTACTTTTATGAATGGTATCTTTGGATTTGCTTGTTTATTGCCTTAAGTTACCCAGGAATATAATGATAAATACAGGCTTCGGAAGGAAATCATGGGAATGTGTAGCTCTTTGGGTAGTAAGAGGAATATAGAGGAGGCCCCCTCCTTGGTGTGCTCTTGCAGTCTTGCTCTCTGTATATCAGCTCTTGGAAAAGTTTCAATGGATCCTTGTTAGGCTTGGTTCAGGAAGGTGACCTTGGGAGTAGATGCTGGTGTGGTGGTGTAGGAATGGTTTGTGGCAGAGCATCGTGATTGGAATTTAGTGAAGTTTTGAGATTGAGTTCCCATGTGGTAACTGCTGTTTACTGGGCTACGGGTGGTGTTTTTCATGCACTAAGTAATGTCAGATTCATAGTTTTGAACTCATAATTATGTTTTCTACTATCCTCTCTTTAATTGTTTTTATTAAATTCCTAGGGTGTTTATTTTTTCTGATTTCTCATCCATTATTTTACTTGACAGCAAGGCTACGAGTCTAGATGGAACATTTGCGCCGGCATGGATAGGTTATGGGAATGCTTATGCAGCTCAAGAAGAGGGTGACCAAGCAATGTCAGCATATCGCACTAGTGCTCGTTTATTTCCCGGGTAATTTTTGATATTATTCTGTAAGGCCCTTTCTTTAATCTAATATTATGTCTCTTTCAACAGTAGAAGCATTGTGTAGAAAAACTTTTTTGCTGAATTTTAGTGATCTTGAATAGCTTTTACTTCGTGACTTATATTCTGTTGTCTGCCTATTTTTTCCCCTGAATTTTTTTTTAATTAGTATTATAATTGAAATATGGCTATAAGCATAGCTCATATCCCTGGAACCTATACCTTGTGGACAAAATGATCACAAGGTAAATTAATCTTGGTTTTTGTATACGTAGGTATAGATTTTACGATTCACCTTTAATCTTGGTTTTCACATTTCATACCCTCTACAATTGCTTTATTTCATGGTACTTTGTGGATAAAATGCTCCTCTATTTTAAATAAACACCTTATTACTTCCAAAAAAGGGTGAAGTGAAAATAACACCCCTGTAGTCTGAAAAGTGTGCTAATAACACCCCTCGCTTTCAAATCCCTCCCTTGTAGTATGAAAAGTGAGCAAATAAGGGCTTCTGACCTCCTAAATGGTATGTGTGGATCATGCGACTAAAAAAAGGCCCTTTAATACCCATACTACCCTTTTGGACTTCCCAAACTACCCCTCACTCATTTCTACATATAATAATCTTATTTAATATATATTCTCTTTCTATAAATACTCTCTATCTATATATAGTATATTTTCCCTCTCCTATCTTATGGCTCTTTCTCTCTATATATGTAATTTCTCTTTTGGAATTTTTATTCTCTATAAATTCCAACTGCATTTTTTTTTTTTTTCCTCTATAAATTCCTATTTCTATTATTTATCTCTCTATAAAAGCTGTCTTTATATTTTATTATTTTTTCTCTCCATATATTTTATTTATTTTCTCCAACACTTCTAGATTGAACCAGAGTATGTTTCCGGCAGTCGTCAGGTTCAGGCACTAGTAGCCCCATCAACGCCTTCTTCAACTCCTCGTTCACATCCCTTTCTGTTGCCTTACCGCCAAACCCATTCTATTCTGATGATCTCTTATCACCTTTGCAATTCTGATTTAACTTTACCACCAAAACTTTTGACCCCTTCTTTGTACTTGCCAAAATCAACCCTTCCGGCCTACTTTGCACCAACAATTTTCGACCAAATTGGTGGTTTCGCCTACCAACTCGAGTCTGTTTAAACCCAAAAAATTCATATCATACCAAATTGGGGGTTTGATGAATTATTACATAAATTCAAGTTGGTAGTAATGGATTCATAAATTCTCTCATCATATCAAACCATAAATTCCATGGTGAAAAATTGAAAGAAAAGATTTCTAATTTCTTTCAATTTTTCTCAAAAACGTTCCCTTTCCTTCACTTTCTCAGCAACCAAACAGAATTAAAATCCAAATCAAAATTAAGCAAACTGAGATCAGATGATGATGAGGAAGTAACAGTCCTCCAACGAGACCAAGTCCAAGAATCTCCAACAAGAGCTTGCTTCCACTGGAGAGGTATGTAGCAGCGAGGAACATCATGTAACCATATACGATGATGAGGAAGAGATTACTGAGTGTGGTGGTGGTGCGGGGAATGAAACCGTACGCTTGATTGCAAAACTCTTCTGTGAAGAACTGATCGAGCCGAAGAAGTTGCGAATCTGGCAAATTGCCGTGAACACTGTCGGAGATGAAACCTGAGGATGGACGGCCGGTGATGAATCGGTGGTAGGAAAGATTGCAAAGGAAGAGAAAGAGGGGAATAGTTGAGAGGAAGGTGAGAGATCGTGTGTGAGCAATGTTTGGGCTTGTTGATGTGTTGTTTCAGAGATAGATATGCTCCCTGGTGAGTGATGAAGATGAAGAGAGAGGAGCGTATGGTTTTTTTGGTTCCACATGTTTTTTGTTTCTAGTATGTCCCTTTCGGTAATTTCAACTCCTAGGTATTTTGTATTATATTTCTTATTAGTAAAATAGAGGGCTTTATCGTCTTTTCATCCATCAGATAATTTTAATCTGACAAAAAGCCCTTATTTGCTCACTTTGTATACTACAGGGTTGGAATTTGAACGCGAGGGGTGTTATTTGCACATTTTTCAAACTACATGGGTGTTTTTTGCACTTCACCCCTTCTAAAACGTAATTAAACACAAGTAGTATAGGCTCCATGATTTTAGATGACATGCTTGCCATTGAGTGTGGGTCATGCCTTTTTGGTTGTAAATAAAGAGATTGTTGTATTTTTTCTACCTAGTTGGTACTCACACAACTCCCCTCCAAGGAGTTGTTTGAGATTGTTGTATTTTTATTTTACTTTTCATGGTCGTGACCATACCTGATAGTGCTTTACTGATTGTTTCTTTAGGTAGTATATTGGAAGTCCTCTTATTACTCATGAGCAATGAATTGTCTTTTACAGGTTGAATCTTGATATTCTCTTATTCCAGGTGTCACTTACCAACTTTGTACATTGGGATGGAATACATGCGAACCCATAGTTTCAAACTTGCTGAGCAGGTAATATACCATTTTACCAACATTGGTAATTACAATTTGTGATTCTGATTTTGGTTTTAATTGTGAACTCCTCTCTTAAAACGATAAAGCAATACAAAACATGGTGGTGGTCTGGAGTTATTGTTAACTACTCAATTAATGCAGAATTGATTGTGATAAAATTTTGCCATCCAGTTGCTAAGTGCTAAGTATGGATAACAGCCCCCTTTCTTGAGCCCACCATTGCCACTGCTCTCCCTAACACCCTGTTCTTCATCCTCTCATCCCTCTCTGTCTCTCTATATATATATTTATATACATGTATGTATATATATCTGATCTTGTTTACTCTCATTGAAGAATCATACAACCATTTGTGGTGGTGCAATTATAATCAGTCCCCTATCGCTGAATCTCCACCAGTACTACTGCCTGTCACCCAAGTCGCACAAATGTATATCAAAACTATAAGTGATTTAATGAGGAGACCCATGAAGAAATAAACCGTGAAAAACTGATATTCATAGAATCCGTCTGGTCTTCTCTCTATACTCTCAGGAACAAACTCACTTTCGCTTTCTAAGTTCTCTCTATTCAGTGGTATCACTAATCGAACCAGTTGTCGTCCTTGTCTCTAGACATATAATTATGAGTCACAGTTCCCCAAAAGAGACATTCTTTTTGGGACAGGGGGAGTATTTCCTATGCGCGTGCCTATAAACCCATCATTTCACCGCCATTTTGATAAGAATCTCCATCGTCTACTGTCTGCACCATCAATTTTATTAAACCAATACAATCAGTAGTATTTCCTTTAGCATGGATGAAAATGTATTCACATATCAATTATCTATAGGTTAGTACCTCTTTGTGCTTGTTGTAGTAATGCTACATGGTTATAACTTATATTTCTTCTCATGTGATTAGTTATGACACAAGCCACATAGAGATCCCAAATATCACCGACTGATTTGTCTTCTCCCAGATTTCCAACTTTCGAGAAGAGTTTCAAGTGAGGTTATCTTCTTGACTGTTTCCTGTAATGGTTTTGGGTGGTTGGTTGGGAGAGGAAATGGAGGGGAGAGAGAAGCAGGTTGAGAGATGGTATAGAGTAGAGATGGGTAGAAAGAAAGAAAGGAAATAGGGAAATGCTGAACAGAATTGTAACCAACCCCCCCTATCTTTGTTCTTTCTTTCTTAAGACAACTAAATCCAGCGCCATCAACCAAACTGTACCCCCTTTGACATCTCCATAGTTGTTAAAGGCTCAAGGCGCACAAAAGCGCAAATGCCTCCTGGAGCCTGAGGCGTGCGCCCGACTGAAGCAAGGCGCACGTTGAAAAAAAAAAAAAAAACAAAACCCACCCAATAAAGTATTAAAGATGCAATAGTATATATAAAGATGCAAAAGTCAACTAAATGAATTACTTAAGTTAAATATTCAACATAAAGATGCCAAAACCAAGTAAATCAAGTTCTTGAGTTCAATAGTGAATAATCAAACATATTAACATAAAGATGCAAAAGTCAACTAAGGAGAATTATGAGATAAAACTAAAACAAACATAACACAAGGATGTGATATATTTTCAAATCAAATCAATTTTATTTTCTATAAGCACCATGATTGATTCTATTTTTCATTTTTGGGTAAGTGATTTAACAACTAAACATTCTTTCAATAATAGAACCTAATTATATGAAAATAATATAACAGTACATGAGTAATTATTTCATTTTAATAGTACATGAGCGATTTACAATTTGAGATTGTCTTCTATAATTTAGAGTACACTTAACTAATTATTTCATTTTAACAAAATTAGATAAAAATGCATTTCCTCAAACCAATAACATGTTAGAATGGAACAAATACAGCTGTTCACACAAATAAATCAGGATCACTCAAATAAATAAAAAAATAGTGAGAGCAATACATTGTACTAATCTAATCCAAGGCTTCCAAGCAGGTAAATATAAAGTACCTCACACAAATAAATAAAAAAATAAAAAGAAGAAGAAAAATAAAAATAAATCTGCCAGGAGAGAGCCGTGACTCGAGAGAAGAAGAAGAAAAAAAGAAAAGAAAAAGAAGAATAAAACTCGAGAAGAAATAAATAAATAAAAAGAAGAAAAATAAAAATAAATCTGCCAGGAGAGAGCCGAGACTCAAGAGAAGAAGAAGAAGAAGAAAAGAAGAAAAAAGAAAAAGAAAAAGAAGAATAAATTGAGAAAAAAAAATAAAAAAATAAAAAGAAGAAGAAAAATAAAAATAAATCTGCTAGGAGAGAGCCGAGACTTGAGAGAAGAAGAAGAAAAGAAGAAAAAAAAAATCTGAGACCGATCCGGCGGATCCGAGAAGAGAAGGAGGAGAGAAGAAGAAGAGAAGGAGGAGAGAAGAAGAAGAGAGAGAAGGAGAACTTACCTGCTGGCCGACGCAGATCCGAGAGTCCGAGTGCCTTCGCTGCCTCTGTCTTCTTTCCTTTGCTTTTTGCTTCTTTTTTTTTTTTTTTGTTTTTTATGTTGTAACTTGTAGGCTTTCAGCTTTCTATTATATTAATAAAATAATAGAATAGAAATAATAATAATAATATAACAACAATACACAAACAATAAACAAACAAAAACAAAATAACAAAAAGAAGTAAAAAACAACTTTTCAAACAGGCACGCCTTTAGAGCGCTTGTAGCCTGGCGCCTTGGTGGGAAAGGCGCACGCCTTACTTAACACAGCCGCCTTAAGTGTACCCAAGGCGACAACATGGCGCCTGGAGGTGCCTTGCACCTCAGGTGCGCGCCTTCGGCGCCTTTGACAACTATGGACATCTCCACTGTCAAATTTTCTATGTTGAAAAAATTTGCAGCCTAGAAAGTTAAATATTAACTATTGAAATGCTATTATGATGTGGTAAATCTTTCTCATTGTTGAATCTTAAGATTTATTATTTATATCTTCAGTATTCTGATAAGATTTTGTCCTCAGTTTTTCATACAGGCAAAGACGAAGTGTCCTTCAGATCCACTTGTATACAATGAACTTGGTGTTGTTGCTTATCATATGAAGGAGTAAGGACAATTGCCCCACATGAAATATATTGCTGGAGAGAGTTAGTGTATCATTACCTTTTTGATGAATAAGATGAAAATAGAATTCATTTGGCCAACTCCGTTCACATGGGATAAAAAGCAAGGATGATGATGTTAACTTTTTGATATTTTTAATGGGATTGAATCTGCCAAAATAATTATAAGTTGTTGGTTGCTGAATTATATCAAGATAGTATGGATATATTTAAAAGAAGTGATTGTAGGATGAACAATATTGAAGCTTCTGATTACAAATGGTGAATATTGTATTTGTTGAGTTGAGTTGTGTACATAAATTACATACGTATGCTATAAATATTGTTGTGTTCTCTCCCTCTTCTTCTTCTTCTTCTTCTTAAATAATCTGTCATATCGCCTATTCAGTAATTTTTTATTCATGTCCATACTTTCATAGGAAGTTGTCTGTAGATGCTGCTTCTGTGCATGAGAGGCCTATTTTTAGAATGCGATATGTGTCCTGATTTGGTTGTTACTGTAATGAGTTATTGCCCATGGTGGTTTGAAACTTTGAATGGAGAACGTAACCTTCATATTTAATGAGGGTTATATTCTAGTAATTCAGTAAAATACTAATAAATAATAATCTAAAAATTTGGAGCTGCTTCACAACTCAGCATTATTATTATTATTATGAGCATTAGTGCTGATACAATGGGAATTTGAAATGAATTATTAGCAGAAAGATAACTACATTGATAAGGAATTATAGAAAGGCTTCAGTGTCATTTCAGAGTCTCCTTTGATTCTACTTGAGTTGAAATCATGACAGATGCAAAGATCTTTTACTTACCAAAAGATGGTGTGTAGCATCCTCATTTTGTGCTTGTTAAACTGCTGCAGCAATATTTATTATTGAGATTTTTTTGCTAGTATAGTATGAATATTGTTAGTGCTATTCTGTATATATCAGTTTTAGTTATCTAATCCAATCTGTCATTTATTGTCTTCTAATTTGTATTTACCGAAAGATGGCGTGTAGCATCCTCATTTTGTGCTTGTTATACTGATGCACCGATATGTATTATTGATGTTTTTGCTAGTATATTATGAATATTGGTAGTGCTATTATGTATATATCAGTTTTAGGTATCTAACCCAATTTGTTCTTTATTAATGTATTCTAACTCTTTTTTTTTTGGGGTTAAAATAATGTATGTATTCTAACTTGTATACATGTTCTCATTCATATTCAGTGCAGTTTTCTCTGTTAGCCTGGTTGCCCTTCTTTTCCTCTTATTCTTCTTTTAAAAATAATATCAAAGTAATTATTTGTCTTTTGAACCTCTTTCAGGTATAACAAAGCTGTGTGGTGGTTTGAGAAGACTTTGGCTTACATTCCATCGTCATTGAGTGAAATGTGGGAACCGACCGTGGTTAATCTTGCTCATGCGTTAAGAAAGTTAAAGTATGGCAAATTTTCTGCCCCGCAATCTTTGTTTGCTTATTATGTTACATGACCACTTTGTGCAGATACTTTGGTGGGTCTTTATCAAGTCCACCCTCCCAACACCCTCGATCAACCCCCACCACGTGCATGCTAATCATTTTCCTATTAGTTTAGACTAATGTTTTCTTTCAAATTGATGCATCATTATAATTGGATTTCTCTAACTTTATATTATGGATGCATTTGTTGCACTGTTGATCTTAGCTTTTCTACCTAAAGATTTCCAAAATACATTGTGCTAAAATTCCCCAGAGACCTAGAAAGAATAAAAAATGCAGCTGCCTATAAACTTTTTAAACAACTAACTATGTTCCAATACATGATAATTAGTGTTTTGGTTGTGTTGATTGGATTATGTATTGATCAATAACTGCAATCCTACGAAGCCAATATCTGAATTATATTTCTTATTGCTTTGGTGCTATTATATGGATAATGGGAGCTTTTTGGGTTTGCTCAATTTGATCCACAATATGATTACCTTTGACTCGAAGTGTCAATTCTATGGTAACTTATGATATTCACACAATTTGATCCAACATATATATATTTTGGGGTTATATTTCATCTCTATCAATTCTATGGTAATCTATGATATACTTTTGGTGTGCTTTGGCTTCCACAATTAAGGAAGGGAGAAATTAGCTTAATTATCTAAGGAAGGTGTATGGAAACAATTCACCTGGCACTTTTGGAGTTTCATTAGGATGCATTGGATGACATCTTATTTTAAACTAATGGCTAGAGCTAAAAATGGTTGAAGTACAATAACAATTTTATAGGATACCACTCATCTCTGGAGAAGAAACTTTTTGCAGGAGAAATTCATGTACATTGATGTATGGGGCTCATGTCATAAACGTGCACTTAATGATTTTGTAATAAAAAGGTGATGAGTGGTGAGAGTTAATGGTCTGCCAGCTGGGTGGTCATGTGGTGGTGGTTGTGGTATTGACAATTTCTTTGTTATTTAAGAATTATTTGTTATTGGTTCTGTTTGAAATTTGAGAATGTTTGGGAATGAACCGGAGAAGATTGAGGATGAAACTGATAGCGACAAGTATGACATGTTCAGAGAATGAGGACTTGTTATAATCCCATGATTTTTCTTTAAATTTTGGGATATCAAATATACTTCCAAAATTAACTATAATATGCGACTATTTGGCAGATATAGGAATTTAAAAAATGCATGGGATAAGTTTGTGGTGTCATTCATTTGATAAAAAGACCAGATGAGTTCACAATTTTAGAGTAATTTGGAATTTGAAAATTTTGTGGTTCTTTTTTAATCTGAATAAATGTTTTTGTTTCTCTGAGAAAATTAATGCTTTTGATTCTCCCCCTTAGAAATAGATTCTGGTGCCATCTTGGTATTATTTATTGTAGAAACTAAAGTGAAAACTTATGTGATCTGCTAAGCCTAATTATATGGACCTACATTGTATCAGGAAGTACTGCGAGGCAATAACATACTATGAGAAAGCACTTGCATTATCAACAAGAAGTTTGAGCACTTATGCGGGTCTTGCGTACACTTACCATTTGCAGGTATTTTTATTCTTGAAACATCTTATTTTCTCTCAGTTGTAGTTTAAAATGATCTTTTTGAAGGTATAAATGGAGAGTTTTTGAGATGATTTCTATTGTTGCTTTTAAATATCTATCTGACAATTGGAGCTTAAGGTACCTGGGCAATGGCATGTTTGATGACCATAGTTATATATATATATATATTTGAAAAATCAAATGGAATGGAAATTCTGGCAGATAGTGACAGTTCCAGTTTTCTGACATCAGGGCTACTTCTCTGGGCTTGTTTATGAACTTATTAATTTAATCATTCTCAGGATTCTATACAGAACACTAGATCAATAAACTTAAAACTTTGATCTGGAAGTTTTAAGATCCGTTTCGTGGCATTTAGAACCAATTGGTAGTTTCTCCTCCTTATTTGTGTCCAGATCTTTTATTGTGGTTGCCTCCATTTCCTTGAAATAGTATTAAGCCCATAAACAAAATTTCAGTTGAATGGTTAGTTTCTCTCCCTTGATGGTATGAACTGGTGTGCACCTTTTAAAAAATGGTTTATTATTATTATTATTATTTATCATTTCTGCTGTTTTGATAGACTATGCTGCTGCCAAAGCAGTTCTAGCATAGTGCTGTTAGATGTCTAAAATGGAGGCTTGGTCAGGCCTCAATTCTTTTCACATGTCGTGCAGAGAAAAATAAGAAGGAAAAATATAGTCAATAAATTGTCACATACTTAATTGACTAGTAAATTAAGCACTTACACTTCAAACCCAGATTATGCATTTGGTTTAAAATATAACCCACTTTCATCCATTGCAATGAAAACTTCTGTTCATGGTTCAGTTTTTTCCCCTTGTGCAGGACAATTTTACTGCAGCGATTACATACTATCACAAGGTAAGTTATATTCTATCATTTTTTTTTTTTTTTTTCTCTCTTAGTACTTTTTAAGAAAGAAAAAATATGCCTAAACCTACACGGGATAACTGGATAAGAACCTGTTACTACTTTTGATCAACAGGCTGGTGGTCACAGGGCAAGTTATTCAAACTTCCTTATGCACTGGCGTGACCTTACATAAATAGTGCGCTAAACAGTACTGTATAAATAGTGTGCTAATTATTGAGAAATTTTTTTTCATACTATTATAATTTTGACCACCGGCAGTAAGTTACCCAAACTTTCCATATGCACTGTCACGAAAAACACCACATTGGTTGGAAGTCCAAATGTTTCATACTATTACTGAGAAATTGTTTTTCATACTCGTATAAATTTACCAAAACGTTTTCTTTATAAGATTTATATATCAAAGCATGAAAGATGATGCGAAACCCATGAACACGGTATATTTTCTGTCCATTTTGCAACACCGTCGCAGATTCAGCCTCATTATACTTTTGTTTTTGTCAGGCTTTATGGCTGAAACCAGATGACCAGTTCTGCACAGAAATGTTAACTTTGGCGCTTCTAGACGAATCCCGTCATGGCACAGACCCCAAAACTGAATCTCGTAGGAACGAAGTCTTCTTTTAATGGAAATTCAAGCAACAACAGATTTGTTACTAGTGTTGTAATTTATTTGTAGTCAATTGTATACTGCTGGAGATAGATCAAAATATTTTGTTTTAGGTAAATTTAGTTTTTTTATCAACCAAACAGACAAATTGGGTGATAGCTGTTCTGTATTTGTATCTTGTGTTGAATTATCGAGGCATTTAACAGAGTTGTAGAAATTAACTTGTAGAATGATCCTCGTCATTTGGTGTATCTTGCACTGCACCATAAATATTTGATGATGGTTTTGAAGCTCGTTTACTATTATATAGAATCATTTATGATCAATGACCATGACCCGTGATATATGTTGGGATTGACTAGGTATTGTGTTATTAAAGGTGAAGGAGAGACAGAAACAGGAAAGATGAAGGGGAGAGAGCTCAGGCATAGAATTAAATATAGGTTTCTTCTACTTGTTGAACGGACAGTGACGGGTAGATGTTGCAGTATTCTCGGGGACTTGTTTGGTGTGAGATTCAGTGATCGGTGATCCCTTCAGTAGACCCCCAAAAAGCTCTGCTGGATCGTAGTAAACTTCAACATCCTCGGCCCTCAGGGACTCATCAACCTATATGTATAAAAAGAGCATTTCAGCTTTAATGAGAGATTATTTCATGTTATCATTCTTATGCGATTGTTGGAATAAATTTTTAATTTTTTTCTTTTCTTTATTTATTTATTTATTTATTTTTGGTTGTGTTATGGGTGTCGATGTATTTTCAATGTAAATCTACATGTTTAGGTGGGTGTGTGTATTAGCATACCTTGAGAATTCCCATCCCACTGAACTCAACCATCTCCCCGGTTGGAGCATGACCTTTGAAAGGTCCCTCAAAGTAACCCCAATGCCTGAACTTGTAAGCAATCACAGGGGGTCCAGAATGAACACTGAGCACTTCCCAAGCAAAACCGCGAGGAAAAGCTGATCGGAAAGCATCATGAGATGACTCGAAGCTCTCTTCATCGGCTTTGTAGTACTTAAACTCCTCTGGCAGAGAATTCTTCAACAATGCGTTGTAGCTCCCAATCCTGAGAGTTTCTTCTGCTGGTAATCCCTCTCTTCCTGCCCAAAAGGAGCAATCTATGGTTTACATGGTCTTTCTTCACCGTCTGATGTCATTACTTACATGAATGCAAAATTGTTTGTTAGGTTCAAATTATGGAAAGTTGGAAAGGAGGGAGAGACGGAAGAGGTAGTACTGGGCGAGAGAGAGAAACAAATCTTTTCCTCCTTTGTTTGGATAGGCAGGAAAAAAACAAAATAAGGGAGAGGACAATTTTTTGATAAGTTAATTAAAGATGCAAAATGGAAAAGAAACCATTTCCGTACCCATTTCCTCCGACTTTTGGAGGGAATAGAAATGGTGATTCTGGGCATTACTTTCTTGTCTTCCAAAATAGAAAGTTTAGGACTTAAGTTTTCATCAGAAGATATGCAAGTGTGTTTCTTCTAAGTATATATATATATATCGGCTTAATTTGTTTGGGCTTGCCCTTTTTCTAGGCCAGTTTTTACCTTCCTTCTCTTTCTATACAATTTACCATTCACCGAATAAAATAAATAAATTATATAAAAGTATTTACTACTCACCAAGGGAAAAAAATTTTTTTGTAAAAAAGTAGGTGAAAAAGATGAAAGACAATTTTGTTTAGTTGAAGAAAGAAAAGTCCCCTCCTTCCAACTTTTCTTTCTTCAACTAAACAAAATTGTCTTTCATCTTTTTCACCTACTTTTTTACAAATTTTTTTTTTGCCCTTGGTGAGTAAATACTTTTATATAATTTATTTATTTTATTCGGTGAATGGTAAATTGTATAGAAAGAGAAGGAAGGTAAAAACTGGCCTAGAAAAAGGGCAAGCCCAAACAAATTAAGCCGAACAGGCTACAAGGGCCCCAAAGAAAGAAAATTAACTCTGCCAACGACCATATATCACTTACATGAATGTGTGTGTGTGTATATATATATATATAATAATTTTTGGTTCCCAAAATATAACACTTGTTTTGAGATAGAAAAAATATATTATTGCTTAGGAGAGCCTTTAATTTTCTACATTTTTCATACCTACCAAATAGGATCTTTAATAATTTCAGAAAATTTCTTCAAAACCAAGTGAAGAACTAACTAACCACGACCTGTCTTCGACAAACAAGTGGATAAATTAAGCAAACAGTGAAGAAACACAATTTTTTCTCATACAAAAAATATAGAAATATGGAGTTTCAAAAATCAACTTTCAAAGTCACGAGTCAAACTAATTTAACATTTCTCAAACTTGTGGAATTTTGTCCGAGTATGACGTTTATACAGAAAAATAAAGCTTAAACTATCTTTACTATTTCAAAGTACCATTTTCGTGCATATAAGTATCACTCTCGTGCACACTGATACTAATTTTATTATTATTATTATTTTTTTTGTGCAGACCAGGTGCACAAAAAATTGTACCTGAAGAGTGATACTTATATATACAAAATTTATGCCAAAATATATTCTCCATATACGTATATTTGGTTTAACATGAGTGAATTGAAAAGAATAATGAAAGAGCAACAAGGGATTTAATTATTTGTATGGTTTGATTGATATACCATTAACAATGAGCTTGAACTTTTCGGGGTTTATGGTCTTGAAATCTTGCAAGCGAGTCTTGTAAGAGAGTTCCATTTCCCACGACTTTATAGCATTCTGAACTATTTCTTCTAGGGATCCTTTAGGCCATTCCTGCAAATCATTTTATGTTATATATATATATAACACATAGATATATATATATATATATATATATAGTCATAGAGAGAGAAGAAGAAGAAGAAGATGGGAAACCTTGGTTCTGCCTGCTTCAAAGAGCTTATTGACGTCATCAAAAGTGGGAGGAGCACCGTGTCTCCAATGGATGTTTCCATTAGCTTCTTCCTCATGCAACAAAGACCTGTACTTGTCTCCTCCAATTTTGATTGATGCTTCATCCTTACTAGCCATGATAGCAAGCTCTAGATGGATATTTGTTCAAACTTGCAAGAAAAGTGAAGCCAGTATAGGACTTTTATAGATAGATAGCACAGTCAAAGTTGCTAAAATAAAGAAATGAGATATTTTATTGGACTGTCTTTATTGTTATCCTCACAGTGACATGTGGTACCGAGATTTCTTGTTTTAAAGAGGATGTTGAAGGTCCGAGCAGAGATTGAGTGTTTCACTTTGTTAGGCATAATAATAATAATAATAATAATAATAATAATAAACTATCTATCACAATTTTTTATTTTGTAAGGGTTGTAAATGAATTGAGTTAAGTTTGAGCATGTTTGGGATCGTCTATTTCATTTTGGACTCAACTTAAGATCATGACAAGGTTAGAATGTTGAGTTCGGACTCGATTCATTTAACAATAAAATTTGTTCAAACTGTTCGTGTTGAAGATCATTAAGCTTATTTATGAACATAAATGAGTCTAATGTTCATAAAAGTGTTCATAAGCATGTTCATAAATTTATGTAATGTTTATGAATGTGTTTACGAGTTGATGTTCACAAACATATACAAGCCCACACAAGTCTATATTCACGAGCCTACACAAACCGAGTTAAATATTGTTCGGTATAGATTCGTTTACTAAACGAAATTAGAAATCGAGCTCGGCTCGGCTCGTGTCGAACATCTATTTATAACCCAATTTTTAGCACACATTTGACACTTTAACAAAGAATAAAGTTACCCTTTTTCAAGCAAAAACAAGTGATTTTTTTTTTTTTTTTGATAATTAAAACATGTTAAGTGTTTTGACATGCATTAGCCGAAGGATTACCAAAATGTTTCTCTAGCATAGTTCTAATTTGAAGATTAATTATATTATAAATTAATCGATAATATTTTTATCCTATGATGCAAGCTCTATAGCTAGTATGTGTTTCATTCACTGCATCAAAGGATAATATTTTTTATCCTATGATGCACACTCTATAGCTAATGCATTTTATAATGAACACGTCAGCTATAGGTAATGAATAATTAGGTTGACTTTATATTAATCTCATTAATTGTTTTCTGATGTAATACTGAAACTTTGACAGTGATATGAAACTGATATAAATCTAATAAAATCAAAAGAAAGCCAATGAAATGAGATTGCATTTGGGAAGGCGCCTACATCCACTAATTAATTGATGTTTCTAACTCTGAATGGATCAACGTGTCAATAGCCTCATCAGTAGATAAGCATATAGTCAAATTGATTAGGAGTTTTGAAATTATGAGTTAAAAAATTTTTTCTTAGAATAGAAGAAAAAAAAGAAAGAAAGAAGTACGTATATGATATTTATAATACTAAATTCCGGGAAAAAATGATATAAAACATATATACAGGGGCAGTAAATTATCCGAAAATGTTGAAACATGCAAATATTGTTCATGTCAGTTAATTTTTAACGTTTAACGAGCTAATTTCATTTTCCTCAAATTTTTATAGCATTAACCTGAATCCATCAGCCTTGCTTCTTCTTTTTTTTTCAATTTTTCCCCCAAATTAACGAGGAAGGCATAATATGTTCTCTCAGAAACTACCAATTAATTGTTCCTAAAATTTTTATAGCATTGGCCTGAAAAAATCTCTATTCTATATCATATTATGTACTCTCTTCTGATATTGAATGTTTTAAAATTACTTTTAATTCACACAGTGGGTCCCTGTGCAGTTGGCATCAATTATTGTGGCATGACAATATTCAACTTTAGAGTTGAATCAACGATTTAATGAGCATCACAATATATACTGTAATATCCTACTCTACAAAATTCAACCTACAACTATGGCTCGCCAAAAACTTGGGCACAAGGTCTTCGGATCTAACCTGGGTAACCTCCATTTTTATACAAGGCGGTTTGTTTTTAGACTTGAACAAAGTTTCATGATTAGAGTTATTATCGATCTTTCGAACTTACGACTGTAAGGTAAACTTTGAATATATGCAATCATTCGTTTTGTTAATCTCTTTTAACAAACATTAGTTCGGTGATAGGATCATAGATGCTTTCATATATACTAGAAGCTAAGCTCCCATTGGCGTGCTAATGTATTTTGATGTTAGTGAACCAATCAGAGAAAGAAGATTACTAGCTAGCTTGTCAAAGACCTTTTCAGCTTGACTAATCTCTCACTTCATTCATGGCTTGTATATAAATGTAGTGTGCAACTTGATTTATATGAGGTATTCATAGAAGTATGAGAGTAAAAAACAACGGGCTACTTCTTTTAAAATGACACATTAATCTGAATCAATAGCTATCATAAATTGTCCCACCAAACTTGTAAATGAATATCAAATGACACCCTGAAGGATAATCACTGTGTATTTTACTCACTGGAAAACATAGTTAATAGTATACATCTAATTGTTTGTTGGCACAAATTTAGTTTTGGATGTTGCACCTTGTATTTGATAGCGACGCAGATTCAGAAGGAGTGGACTAATATTTTTTTGAATGAAGTAATATCAGTAATAATAATAATATTATTATTATTATTATTATTATTTAACTAGGTTAAAATTGACTATCTTATGGTTTCACTTACCTTTAATTGAATCCCATGGATCGTCATTGTTATGATATTTCAATGTAACTAAATTTCCATTTTGGAGATTTATCTTCATTGATAAGGTGACCATTAAAGATTCAATGACCAACATTACTCACATTAAGTTTTTTCTCACATCCTTTCGTAAAACATAAATTTTGAACGGAATTTGTCAACATAACACATATTATTGTACCATGTTATACAACTTGGTTTTAAACTAGAGTGTAGGCAATTTGCATGAGCCCAACGAGAAACTAAATATATAAATATTACTAGAATAAAAAGTAATCTAAGCCTTATCCTATCTTAATTAAAGACAAATTAGGGTCTTAACCCTACTACTGTTGAGTTGGATTGAGTTTACGGGTAAATTTGGATTTGAATTTAGATTTAGGGTTTTATAGTTCGAGTTGAAAGAATTTGGTTCACCAAATGATATAATGTAAGTTTGGTATGCATGTACAGAGCTCAATGCGAATCTGATGTTGAGACTCGATATTGTGCACTAAAATTACGCGTTGAAAGAATTCAATTCACTAAATGATATAATGTAAGTTTGGTATACACGAACAGAACTCAATGCGAGTCTAGTGTTGAGACTCGGTATTGTGCACCAAATGTAGTTTTGGTGTATTGGACCATCGTTTCAAAGAGGTGTGAGATCTTGATCCAATCTTATTACATGAAAATAAAATGAATTATGGGAACTAAGCATATTATGTGAGACAGGGCCGGCCTTGGTCCAAGGCGACCAAGGCGGTTGCCTAGGGCCTCAGAATATAAGGGGCCTCCAAATTTATAGGCTCATGTATGATGGGCCACAAAAAAAAAAAAAAAAAAAAAAAAAAAAAAAAAAAAAAAAATTACAACCAAATGCAGCAAATCAAAATTTATAGGCCATGAATGTTGGGCCACCAAAAAAAAATTTATAACACAGCAAAGGGCCTCAGGAATGATGGGCTACCAAAAAAAAAAAAAAATTTATAACACAGCAAAGGACCTTACATTTAAGGTCCGCCTCTCGAGATTTTTTCAATTTCATGGCAGGCCCAAATGTGTGATTACATTTATAGACACAGCAACTTTTTTTTTTTTTTTTGACCCAGAACTCTCCACAAAGCGGCCTTTACGAACCCCAACACGTGGCAACAAACTAGAAATACTGCAACCTGCCCCATAGTTACAGCACCAGATTAATCAACAAAACTAACAGGCTTAGTAGAGAACCCAAACACTGGCTGCTGGTGTCACAGTTCCAAGCCCCCACCGTCACTGGTAACCCGCCGACGGCCATAGACACGACAACTTATCATCACGTCACTAGGAGTCACTGTTTGACCAATTTAATAAGTATCCAAAGCATAGGTGTGGCCTGGCGTCAACTCTCAAGTCCAGTCCAACGCGCCAAGCCAACCTTCATTTCTTCTCAATAAAAAAGAAACACACCTCCGCTAGCTTCTCCGTTCAAGCAAACACCAACTCCATCACTCCTCTCCCTCCCACTTTCTCTCTCCTCCTTTCTCTCTCTACTCCGCCCGACCAAAATGGACGTTCGCAGGCCACAATCCAAGTCCCTGGGTCCGTCCAAAACACTCTCCGCCGGTGGACCTCTCAAACCCCACCAGCTGCAGTCCTCTTCCAAAGCCTCTGACGCTCTTCCTCTTCCTCTATACCTCACCAACGGCATATTCTTCACCCTCTTCTTCTCCGTCGCCTACTTCCTCCTCCACTTGTGGCGCGAGAAGATCCGCACCTCCACTCCCCTCCACATCGTCACCCTCTCTGAACTCGCCGCTGTGGTTTCCTTATTCGCCTCCGTCATGTATCTCCTGGGTTTCTTCGGCATCGACTTTGTCCAGTTCATTACCAGGGGTTCCGACGTCAACGCCGACCAAACCGCCGACGACTTCATCCTCGAGGAAGAAACCCGACGCGGACCCTGCGCTGCCGCCGACATTGACTGCTCCGCTAACGTTCCGGTTGTTCCTCCGCAGTCCACGGCGGCGCCGGTGACGGAGGAGGATGAGGAAATCATCAAATCGGTGGTGGCGGGGCTCGCTGGAATCGAGGCTCGGGAACTGTGACAGGGCAGGAACAATAAGGCGGGAGGCGGTGCAGAGGATAACGGGGAAGTTGCCGGTGGATGGGTTCGATTACGGGTGGATAAATGAGCCTAATGTTCATAAAAGTGTTCGAAAGTACTTTCATGAATTTATGTAATGTTCAAGTACGTGTAAACATGAGTTTGTGTTCACGGACATACACGAGCCCAAACTAGTATATATTTAGGAGCCTACACAAACTGAATCAAATATTATTTGGAGTAGATTCGTTTATTAAACAAGATTAGAAAATCCAACTTCGCTCCGCTCGTGTCAAAGATTTAGGTTGAAGTGTTTTGACATGCATTAACCGAAGGAGTACCAAAATGCTTCACTAGCATAGTTCTAAGATGAGGATTAATTATATTCTAAATTAACTGATAATATTTTTTATCCTATGATGCACACTCTATAGCTATTAGCTAGTAAAAGAGATGCTAAAAAACAGTATTGCATTTTATAATGAACACGTCAGCTATAGGTAATGAATAGTTAGGTTGACTTTATATTAATCTCATTAATTGTTATCTGGTGTAATACTGAAACTTTGACAGTGATATGAAAACTGATATAAACGTAATAAAATCAAAAGAGAGCCAATGAAATAAGTTTACATTTGGGAAGGCGCCTACATCCACTAATTAATTGATATTTCCAACTCTGAATGGATTAACGTTTCAATAGCCTCATTAGTAGATAAGCGTAGTCAAATTGATTAGGAGTTTTGAAATTATGCGTTAAAAAAATTTTTCTTAGAAAAGAAGAAAAAAGAAGAAGAAAGAAGTACGTAAATGATATATATAATACTAAATTTCGGGAAAAAAATTTGATATAAAACATATATATACAGGCAGCAAATTACCCGAAAATGTTGAAACATGCAAATATTGTTCATGTGAATTAATTTTCAATGTCTAACGAGATATTTTTATTTTCCTCAAATTTTTTTACCATTAACCTGAAAACATCATCCTTGCTCCTTTTTTTTTTTTTTTTTATCAAATTAATGAGGAAGGCATATTATTTACCCTCAGAAACTACCAATTAATTGTTCCTCAAATTTTTATAGCATTAGCCTGAAAACATCTCTATTCTACCTTATAATATTAAGTACTCACTTTTAATTCACACAGTGGGTCCCTGTGCAGTTGGCATGAATTATTGTGGCATGACAATAGTCTAATTAATTGAGAGTTGAATCAACGATTTAATGAGATCACATTACATAATATTCTACTCTACAAAATTCAACCTACAATTATGGCTCACCAAAAACTTGGGCACAAGTCCTTCCGATCTAACCTAGGTAACCTCTATTTTTATATTAGACTTAAACAAAGTTTCACAATCAGAGTTATTATCGGTCCTTTAAACTTATGACTGTTAGTTAAACTACCATCATTCGTTTTCTTGATATCTTAACAAACATTAATTCTGGTGATACGCTTTCATATATACTTGAAGCTGAGCTCCAGAGGCATGCTGATGTATTTTGATGCGAGTGAACCAATCAGAGAAGGAAGATTTCTAGCTAGCTTGTCAAAGACCCTTTCAGCTTGACTAATCTCATCATGGCTTGTATATAAATGTAGAAGTATTAGAGTCAAAAACAACGGGATACTTCTTTTAAAATGACACAGTAATCTGAATCAATAGCTATCATAAATTGTCCCACCAAACTTGTAAATGAATATCAAATGACACCCTGTGGATAATCACTGTGTATTTACTCACTGGAAAACATAGATAACAGTATACTTCTAATTGTTTGTTGGCACAAATCTAGTCCTGGATGCTGCACTTTGTATTTTATAGCCACCAATAATATAGATGGAACACACCCCATGTACCCAAACACACTTGTTATATATATATATATATATAGATAGATAGATAGATAGGCAAAATAATAATAATAATAATAATAATAATATTATTATTATTATAAAATAAATTGTATGTGCACGCTATCAGAACACATAATACAAATCAAAAGTAAATACAAGTACATGTTCGATTGTGCTCAAGTAGGAAATAGCTAGAGTTTGGAGAGAGTCGGCTGCAACACCCAAGCAAACATAATGTCATGCATGCTCTGCATGCAGTCTGCAGAGATGTTACGCCACCTAGCTAGGTGACACTAGCATTGAAAGGATTATACGTTAAGTTTGAATGATATGAATACGAGTATTGAAAGAATTATGCGTGACGTCTGAATGATATGAATAAAGTTGAGTTCTAGAGTTTTTAAATTTGTAAGGAGATGTGGAGTCGTTGAAGAGTTGGGAGAGATTGGTAGAGTGTAAAGACTTCTAAAAGATTAGGGAATTATATAGAGCATGTAAGTATTTAAATATATATGGAGAGTTCTAAAAAATTATAGCCATTGATTGTAATGCATCTAGCCATTCATTTAAGAGTAGAGGATGGTTACATATATGTTAAGAGTTTCATTTGTAAATCAATCTATAATCTCGTAGGTTGAGATTGAGAAGTTAACTAATTGAATTGTTGGAGTTACGAAATGTCCAAATAGCTATTTAGAATGAGGCATAATAGTGGGAGTGAAGTTCTAATTTACAAGTATACCACAAGGAATAAAGGCAAGAATGATAATGACGAGTTCGATGATACCAGAGGTCCATTAGCTCCCATGTGTTCACAGTAGGCCAATTTCGTTCCGCAACCACCACAGTCTTGCTTAAACCAGAATCATAGATAACCTTCTGACCATATATACTTATCCAGAATTAAGCCAAATGGTAGTCAGGAATCACTCCACAGTCTTGCCATTGCCCACTTGAAATTTAGGCTCCGTTTGTTTGAACATAAAATATTTTTCAGAAAATATTTTTTTATTTTTTGGTGTTTGGTTGTTATAAAATATTTACGAAGAAAAAAAATATTAAAATTTAACAAAATTAACTTATTCATAAATTTTCGATAAGTTATTTTACATGTCCCGTCCGATGGACTCGATCTCAACCTTGATGTAGACCTTTGCTAAACACCGACAAAGTAAAAATAAAAGAATATTTTATTTGAAACAAACAGAGCCTAAATATCGCCTTTCATTACATCCCTAAGATTTAGAAGTATTTTCCAAGTCCATGTGTTGTTATGAAGTATACGACATCTGCCAAAAATTCTTCCTCTTTATCAGGCAATTCCTTACCCAGAGAACCCACAAACAATCAGAATTAGGCTACATCAAATTCCATATATGTCTCTTCATGATTGCTTCGTTCCAATCTTCCATATTTTTTTATCCCCAATCTACCTTCTTCCTTACACATGCTTTATCCAAATGCCTTTGTGTGGCGATTTTGTAGGTGGGCGGGTGTAAGAGATACTGGCAAGCTACCACACTATGCGAGTTACAGGTGAAGTGATTATATGTGGTGGTACTATCTCCAATTGATACGAGACCTTTTGAAATAAAACCTAAAAATAAAACTGTGCAGACTCGGATTCAAAACGGACAATATCATACATGTAATGGAGTGGGTTGTTTCACTTTGTGGAGATAACTTGCATGTTGCCAGTCGAGTTCACCATTACATAAGCTTATGATCGAATATCTATGCCACCTACATTATGTAAACACATGTAAAACAAAACTAAATTTTTGAACAAATCAAGGCTATCTAATAATGCTATATGATCAAAATAACAACTCATTTTAATAACAACTCAGATAACATTCAAACCATGTACACTTCGAATTCCTACAAATCTTACCCATCCACACCTACAAGGAATTCCCACTTTCCCACTCATACAAATTTATTGCCACCAACTCATTATAACTCGTAAACTGGTTTAGTTTTGTTAAATTAAGGAATTTAAAGATGTCTAGAATGTCAAATGTTTAAATTTGTTAAATTAAAGAATTCAAAGATGTCTAGAATGTCAAAGATTTTAGGGATTGTGTTGCTTGATTCTAGAGATTATGTCTAGAATCAAGCCTATAAATATTCTGTAAAATTCATGAAATGATATAAATGAAAAAATACAATTCATCAAATAAATATGGTATCAGAGCATGGTTAAAAAAACCCATTTGATTCATTGTTCTAAATGTTTTTTTTTTTTTTTTTTTTTTTCTTTTCAAAAATCAAAACCCAAATATCAATCACCTCTCTGTAATCAACAGAACTTGCCCTCTCTCTGCAAATCACAGAATTTAGAAACTGGATCTCCAGTCACCAGCTCACAAGATTCCATTCTGCCGCTGCCATACACCGAGGATCCATCGCCGGAAAAGGAGCCTGCAAGCCCGCTGTCCTCTTGAAATATTTGAATGCCCAGATCCGCCGCCGCGAAATTTAGCTCCGCTGCCACGAAATCCAGATCCGTCGACGACGAGTGAAACAAACGATGCCCCCGGGACTCGTCGTCGTCATCACTCATCACCGATGAGACCGAGTCGATGTTGCTGTAGCCATCGACGTCAACTACGTGAACCATCAACGGATCTGTTACGCCGCTGCCCTTCCTCACCGCGTTGGACAGCGAACAAAATCCCAAACCAGTCGCCGATCTGCGGACGACCCGCCACCGCCGCACCATCGCCGGTCGCCTTCTACGACCAGAGCTCACGGCCAAGCTCTACAGCCGTTTCGTCTTCTCCTTGCCGAGTCCTGCTATCCAACAAATCCTTCACACAAAAATTTGAAGAACAAATCAAAAGGATAGCAAAAATGCCACATTTGGATGAGTGTTACTTTTTGGTTCAACGGGAGTTCCATAAACTATCTAATCGGGGTGAACAAGATCGAGGACGACCCAACAATAGTAGACCAACTAATGGTGTTGACAAGTCTTCCTACAAATGCACTCATTGCAGTAAGACTGGTCATACCAAAAGTCATTGTTTTGAGTTGGTGGGATATCCAGAATGGTAGGATCCTAGTCGTGCAAAGAAAAATTAACAAAAGCTTTCCACTGAAGCAGTTGTCCAAACAAAGACGGAAGATGAAGTTGCTATCAAAGCCTCGGCATTGGTAATAGCTGCAGACAATAGTAAGTTTCTAAATATTTCTACATCTATTTTGAATAATGCATGGATAATTGATTCTGGTGCAACATATCACATGACATATGATTCTAGACAGGTCTCATAACTTTGTCCCTCCACACAAAAAATTGTCTCTACTGCCCATGGAACTTCGACCCCAGTTAGTGGGGAAGGATCTTTGACTCTAAACAATACATTCAAGTTAGATTCTATTTTAGTTGTTCTGTATTTAGATTATAATCTTTTGTCATCAGTTTCTCAAATAACCACT